ATTATAATAATATATAAAATATTATATCAATATTACATTACAAGTACAATATTACATTACATGGCACATATATATAACATATATGGTAAAATATGCTAAAATAATATTAATTTTTTCTTAACCCATAAAATATAATTATTATTTTCTTATTGGCATTTCTGAAAAGATATTTTGCTTATTGAATTTAACCCCCAGGAGGACAGGGGTTTTGTCTACTTTGTTCTCTAATGAATACCCATTGCCTAATTTAGGACTTTGCTTAAAGTAAGAGATGAATTCAAATGAATAAGTTTATATGTGAATGGATATATGGATAAAACCTTATTTACTTTTTACTCAATGACCATGTTTATATGAATATTTCAGAAATCACTGTAAAATGTTGTATTTAATGATCACATGTAGTTAAACTTATATAGTAATCATCTTTTCTATTAAAAATTTAATTGTTTTTATAAGCAGTTATTCTCGTTATTAGTTTTTTATTTAAGTTAGTTAAATCTGGTGAAGTCTTGGCACCCTATAAAGGCATTGGATTTCAAATTCTTTGGATGCAAAGCACAATTTTATGCAACAATTCAATGCTTTACATATGCATTCTGAAAATTTATTTTCTTTTTCTGTTATTCTATTTCATCTTTAAATATATGCATCTGATAATTAACAACATGGATCTCATAATGCAGTTTTTCAGAGGTTATAACCTATAGCTTGAAAACTTTACTACAGAGTATACAAAATAATGTGAAAGTTCCCAATGAACTAGTATTTATGCACATTTTTAAAACCTTCATACTAATGATTGCTGCATAGACTAATACTTTTAAAACTATCTATTATTTTATTTCCACATGCAATGTGTAAAGGTTACACTATGAATATTAAAATGAAAATTTTTGAAATAAATGTTCTACAAAATGAAACAATGTAAAACTAAATTGCATTCTAAATAAGTAACTATAGGAGCTATACTAGAATATTAGAGCAGAAAACTATAACCTTGATGACAACTTAACATAAATGTTATTACATATCTCCTCAGAGAAAATTATTCTTAAAGAGTTGTTAAATTCTCACTTTAATTTGTAACCAGTGGATGCCAAAAGTGAGTGATGTAAGGAGAATCTTCAGCCATTCTCTCTTTAACCAAGATAAAAATACATATTTCTCTCACTCTCCAAACACAGTCTATTCCTATATTGCATCACTTGTTTGTTAGTAAGGTTTATAAATCTTTATTTTCCACTACACATTTGTTTGCTACCATATGGTAAACTTATCACCATTCAGTTATACAATCAAAACAACTTCCTAAGAGGTTTGCTGTCATCCTATCTCTACTGATGCAAATCAACTTTTATATCACTGCAGATTTATTGTCCAAAAGTTCCATTTGATTAATTCACAACCTATCAGGTTTTCTTTTGCCATCTACAACCTTCTTAATTTACCTATTTACTCTTACAGATCATATGTTCTTGTTATGCTCAGTTTTATGTGTGAACTTGGCTATTACAGTACTCCATTATTAAATCAAATTTTAATTTATGTGTTTCAGTGAAATTATTTTGTGGATGTGATTAATAGTTATGATTAGTTGAATTTATGTAGGAAAGATTACCTTGGATAATCTTGGTGGGTCTAATCCAAGAAACTGAGATGACCTTACAACAAACAGAACTAAAACAGAACTGATGGTTCCTTTAGGAAGAAAAAACAATCCCACCTGTGGTCTGCAGGGCAAGTTCCTAGCAAGAGGTTCCAGCATGCCCTTCCTAAAGGCCTATCACATACTCTAGACTTGCCTGGTCAGTTTCCCCAATCTTTAGTATGTGTGTAGATATCCCACCTATTCTATTTCTTGGATCAACCCTGATTGACCAGGTCAGCTTCAGTATTTCATACTAACGCCCAGCTCCTGCCATATTTTGTGCCTCATACTTTACTGACTCTCCTGATCTCCTACCCTTAAGACTTCTCATCTTGAAATGGCCCCTGACTTTGTTTTGCCCCTGAATATTACCTTGTTTCTACTTTTATAACATAGGAGTAACACACTTCTCTGAATCTCTACACCTTTCTGTGCTTTTGAATGACAGAACATGATGTGTCTTTTATGTTGGTTAATATTACAGTATTTCTTTATGATAATGAACACCATAAGAAAATAAGCAATGTGTTATAAAGCTGTGAAGTGTCACCAGCATCCAATAAAGTTTAAGCAACATGCCTGCTACTTGAAAGCAATTTAAGGAAGGAGTAAATAAACAGGTGTTATTACATACATCTAAAAATGTAAAGCTTTGAAATCAGATGGATTTCAGTTCATCAGTCTGGCTCTGTCTCAGTAGCTTTGTGACAATGGACAATTGTTCAGTATTGTTTTTTTTTTAAAATTTTTAAAGTGATAATAACATTGTTATTCATTTTTCTGAGTCATGAAAATAAAGTAAAAGTACACCAGTAAAGTACTTGGCATATATTAAGACTCAATAAAAAGTAACTATTTAATTATTAAGATATTTGGGACTAATTCATTGTGTGTGTGTGTGTGTGTGTGTGTGTGTGTGTGTGTGTGTGAGTGTATCACCCAGACAGGCACTTTTGTAAGTCCTGTGAAAATAAAATATAAATTAATGATTGCTAATATTTACTGAGACATTATTTTATTTTGGATATTGTTCTGAGACTTTATCTAACTCCTTTATATCTGTAACACTCCAGTGGGAAATTATTAGTATCATCCTTGTTTGTGGATGAATAATAATAGAGAAAAGTAATTTTCTCAAAGATTCACAGCTAAAAGTTTTAGAGTCAGGATACAAACCAAGGCCATCTACACTACTTCCTATCAACATGGATTCAGCTTTCAAGTAATATATGCTCTAACAAAGAGATACAGAACATCTTTAAAATAACTCCACAAAAATACTACACTATAGTACTTTGAGGTACTATAGAGTAATTCAAAGAAGGAAATAAGATTTTTTTTCAATTTTTTTAATACTACTTAGCACACATATGACAAACATTATTAACAAAACCAAATGATCCTTCCATATTTAGCTGCCCCCAGTCTGAAAAGATGTTTCTGAACCCTCTAATCAGTGTGCTATGTCTTACAAGTTATGCACCTATGAATTATCACAAGCAACTTGTCCATGTAGACAAACATTAACCACAGAGTTCAAATTTAAGGTGGTTCTAATTATAATATAATATTTCAATGCTTTATAAACCAGTTTTTCCAAATTAGAAATTTCAAATCCATAAAAATAAATAAATAATCTCAGTTGTTTCACTTGAATGATATAATTCCACTATCATTATCAAGATCTGAGCATGAGTTTTAAAATAATCCTTGCTTTCTGGAGTAAATTCTGTTCTACATTAGGCATCATAACAATAACTTATTAATTAATGTGAAAAATATCTATAGAAGAGATAGATAATATTAACTTAGTTTGGTTAACTACAGTTTGCATGGTAAATCATGTCAATCTTCATGCAAAATATACAAGAAAATTCATAAGCACTGCAGTAATTTCAAGAATATTATTTTGCTTAGAAAACATTTTGGAACATTTTTTTTTTTTTGCTACAAAGTCAGTAAGAAAAATAGTTGCTTCCCTCTATCCATCTCACTACTGCACAACAGTTCTAGAAGAATTTCTTCTAGATGACCTTTTAAATGTTTCTTCTTGCTAATTCAGACATACACCTTCACTGTAGACTTTCTTATTAAACACTATTGATTTTCTGCTCAATGAATGTTTTTTTCTTGTCCTTAAATAATTTCTATGTCTAATCCTATACTCCAATACATAGTTAACTAATCCATAAAACCTTACTTTCCCTTATTGGGCTGGGGTTGTAGCTCAGTGGTAGACTGCTTGCCTAGCATATGTGAGGCACTGGGTTTGATTCTCAGCACTGCATATAAATAAATAAAATAAAGGTCCAACTAAAAGAATATTAAAAAGAGCCTTATTTTCCCTTATAAAACTATTATAATTTTATTTCCCCCCTGTTGTTGCCAAAGTTAGGCTGCATTTGATCCATTCACATTCATGATCTTAATTCTTTAATTCACTTGTCTCTCAAATTTTGAATCAGATTTCTGTTTGGTGCTTACTAACTAAAAAACAGCACCTTTCTTTAAATTAATTTAGCAAACTTCATTCATTCATTTGTCCAATTTCCTAACAATAGCAAATCAAAGTTTTAAAAACATAGGACACAAATTTTTACTTCTATTTTAAAATGTAGCAAATTGAGCTGGTCATGGTGGCATACCACTTAATGCCAGAGACTCATGGGGCTGAGGCAGGAGAATCCCAAGTTCAAGGCCAATCTCAGTAACCCTATAAGGCCCTAAGCAACTTAGTGAGACTCTGTATCAAAATAAAAGGAAAAAGGGGCTAGGAATGTGGTTCAGTGGTAAAAAGCCCCCGAGTATAATCCTCAGTACCAAAAAGAAAAAATAAATGTAGTAACCTGAAAAAAAGAGTAACATAATGAACTTTTAAAAAAGTATTATTAAAGTTTTGTTCGTTAATATTCTTGGATGGTACTTACAATTATTAAAATTTTAGTTTATTTTTCTCATTTCCAGGCTAGTTTTTATTTTTAGTTTAAATAATACACCATTAAAATATTTTTAAAGGAAGATAATTTATTTGTTCTTTTCTTGACTACAGGAAATTATATTGCAAATAATTTTAACAATAGCCAAAATTACTAGAAGAAAACACATGCATGAAATGTATGATAAATAGAAATCTAAAATGACATACTTTGTAAAACAAGAATCATTTATTTGGATAAAAAAATAACTTCCTATATCATACAGTACTTAGCTATTTTATTTATGTAACTTTTTTTAGGAATCACTTACCAGGGAATGTCAATGCATAGTCAAAATTTTTCTAATATCAACCATAAATAGTAATAATACTATCCAAAATAAAATTAAATAATATTATATGAACTACTTTTACCTTTGCATTATAGGGAATGTAATGTTTTGATAATGCTTCAGGTGTATGCATCCATGTTTTGTCTGCAACAAAGAAAATATAGTCATTGTTAAAGTAAATTATGGCTTCCTATGGTGTCAGTCATGCATTAATATCTGTAGGGAGTCTGAGCATTTCTAATTTTGAGTTCTCCATTATAAAATAATAACTAGTCAAATGTAATATCAATGTAGCTGGAGAAGGATTATAGGATTCTTTTCTGGTATAAATGTCCCCCACTTTAATTTTTTTAAACAAAAAATGCTGAATTTTTGAAGAATATTTAGAAATAACATCAGTGAGATATGAATAATATCAATTATTCAATTAAAGACAGCTATTTTTTCTTTCATTTACTACAGGTTTTTTGTTTTAATTCTCAGAACAGTAAAAAAAAACTCTCTTTATTCATTGTGATTATGTTTTAGCATCAAGATTTAAATATTCTAAAGAAAAAATTTTATATTAAGCTACCAGTTGCATTTGTATGAAGCTGAAATACATTAATCTACAATTTCATTAAGAAATCAATATAATATTAGAACATTATTCTAAATTTAGAGAAATATTGATTATCAGAAATTATAAAGATAAAAAAATCTTAGATGATACTACAGCGAATGTTTCTTAGATAAGTGTAATAATTATTAGAAATGAAAATGGGACAAAATCATAGATTTTTAAGACTAACTTACTTTGTACGTTACTTATTTTTGATATTTATATATTTCATTCAATTTGTGAACATTATTAATACATTCAATATAGTTTCACAAATATTTTATGAAGTGTATAAGAAGGGAAAACATTAAAGTTTACACAAAGCAAACTGACTTCTTGTTTTTTGAAACTGCATTTGTTTTGGAGTTAGATTTCTTAATCTTCAAATACATCTTGTTGTCTCCATTTGTGAAGTTTTGTATTTTAATCTCCAGGGGAGTCTAAAAAAATTAAATCAATATTATAAATAGAAACTAATTAAAGATATATTTTACCATGGAAAGGGAATATCAGATTACTAACCAAGTACTCTTAACATTCAGTTGAGAACATTTAAAATAGTGTTTACAGAAATTAATTAGATATCATTAAATTAGAGCTTTTCAAACTGAGGGAATTTGAAACTATAGGAAAAATTATATATATTCATGGCACGTTAGTTATTTGAAGGACATTGGCCATATTTGTATTAAACATATTTATGGGTATAAAGCAATATTCACAAGATCTTCCCTGATAAGACATAAGAATCAACAGCATTGGGCTATTTCTCTCTATTGGAGTGGACAATTGAGAACTGCATTTCAATGAAATATTTTGAAAAGCAATGCTCTTCAAGCTTCAAAATGCAATATTGACAACAACATTTTAGGTGTTTTCTTTACTTCTGCTATGAATTTTATCTTATAATTTTTAAATGGCTAATGAACAGTGACATGTTTAATTCAAGAATAATTTGTACTTAGACTTGGCATGTAGTCTTTCTTACTCTTGAAAGTTAAAAGAGGTAAATCACAATTCTGTATACAAAAACAATAAAAACACCAAACATTTGCCTTTTGGAAGCCTAGAAAGATATCCAATTTTTCTTTTTATGGCTTTGCACAATTCTTCTCATGCCTCCTTCCCATAATATACAACACTTCTCCAGGAGTTATAAAAAGTCTGACTAAAGTCTTAATATGAGGCTCATACCAATCCTGAGGCAGAGAGATAATTGCTTTCTCTCAAAAGCCACTATTATTTGAAAACTGATGATATTGCCTGTGTTATAGTCTCACATTTCAGTGACCTTGAAAGAGGGTAGGTATACCTAGGTGTTTCTGGTTTCAGACTAAAATAAACACAGTATGAAATTACGAGTGGATGAGCTACACAGTTCCTTCAATAACTAAAATCTGCATTCACGGAACATAAAATGTGGATTTTTTTAGTGGTTGCTCATTACACAATTTCTGTTATAGGTAGTGCATTTATGAAACCTGAAGGACTTCCAAAATGAGTTATTAGTGTCATCTGAATTTATACTTTGTTAAAAGAAAAACAAAACAATCAAAGAATAAAACTGTGGATATTAACTCACATAGATGTTTTTGGACCTTGAGAAGACATTACAGATGATGGTCTTTGGTCACTATTTGTGTCCACAGAAGCAATTAGATAAAGAGAACTAGTATAAACATGGAAATATAGACATTCCAGAATGTGTTGCCCTTCCTTGAAATTACATTAAAATTGCTAATTCAATATTGAACACTCATGTGAGAGAAAATGTTGACATTCTTAAATGCTTGACAAATGTCAAACAACTGAATACTGGATCAATAAACTTAAATTTTTAAAATGCAGTTAGATTAGGAGCTCATGATGAAAGATGCAGTAACTTAAAAATATATATATATATATATATTTTTCATTTATATATATATAAAATCACCAGAGCTTAACATAATGAAAATGCCTAATTTGAGTATGTTAAATTTAAAGCTAAATATTGTTGGGTGAAAGAATACATTGGAATGGCATTTTTCATAAGAAAATAAAATAATTCTTAAATATTTAATTTTATGTGTTTAGACATTAGGATTATATTTACTCATTAGTATATCAACTGGTAACTTAAATAAATAAAGTGTAATTTGTTGAATTATTCAATAACACTATTCACATACTATATTTTATACTTTTTTGCTAAATGGTTTAATTTTGATGGAATAGGTAGAAGATTTTCAAAATTCAAAGAGACTGCTAACTAAGGAAGTCTCTGTAAAATAAATACAACCATCATTAAAAATTAATCTATGATTATATGAGACTAACTTTTAAAGGGCTTTTCTAAATAGCTCAAAATGTTGCAATTACAGTCTATTCAAACTTTTTCAGTCTCTGAACGACTATAACACTGTTATAGTATTTGCAAAAAAGAAAAAAAAGTGAAATATCTGGCTAATTCAATATAAACACTATAATAATAATTCTGACACTTAATAAAAAGAAACAACTATGTTTAAGTTACAGAGAGAATCTTTCTTTCTTTGGTTTCTGAGGCTTTTAGTAGGGCTATGTGAAATGACCAAATAAACTGGTTATCTATGAAATAAGAAATAGGCTTTTCCTGACAGAAGACCATTTTACTTTGTTTAGAATACTATGCATAGTATATATTGTTACTAGTTATTGGAAATATCACTTGAATTATACATTCTCTAAGACTTTCAGGATATAGGAATTCTGTGATAACATTCAAATTCCCCATCTCCAACTAAAATTCAGCTAATAGTACTATTACTTAAAACCTGGAACAGAGGTTCTAAGATTTTTTTCATTTAACAAATGGGACTCAAAACTAATTGACAAATTTAAGTAAAACTTCTGGTATCAAATTGTAAATTAGAGCTGGAGCAAAATATTGATCAATCATTACCAAATAAGGATATTTAATCATTAGACTTGGAAAATAAGAAAAGGTGATAAAAATCAAAAAAGAACTAAGCAAAGGAGGAAATAAGTCTTTTGCTTCTGGATTCTACAAACCACTCCAATTTTCCCCAAGGCAGCACCCCACTGGGTGCAAATGAGACCAACAAATAATTACTGGTTACTTATATCATTACCCAGTCCTCTGGAATAACCACTCTGTATCTCCTTAAAATAAATAGTAAATTAGAAACAAGCAGTTGCAACTTCAAAGCCATGGGATGGGGAATTGTGTGTGTGTGTGTGTGTGTGTGTGTGTGTGTGTGTGAGAGAGAGAGAGAGAGAGAAAGAGAGAGAGAGAGAGAGAGAGAGAGAGAGAGAGAGAGAGAGTGTGTGTCTTCCAAGGTCAAAAATGTTTTGCAAAAATAAGGTAGTGTGATTATAATGATGAATTGTGATGTAAAGTTTCTATTACTTTATTAGAAATACTATGATATATCATAAAACTATTTTTACTTTCTTACTAGTAAAGAGAATAAAAAGAAACACAAAAAAGAGACATCATTTTACTTTGGGGATATGTTTTAAATCAGCATGAAGGTATAGTCAGCAAACAATGTCATTTTGCTTCCTCTTACTCAGAAAAATAAGCAAAATAATATATTTCTAGCTTTGCAGTCTTGAAAAGTGTTTGAAAGTTCACATTATCTAAACTCCCACTGAATACATTAATCTTCTGTACCATATCCAAATGTTTGAATGGCTCTCACTTCTGTGACACAAATTTAGTAATTTGAATAATCCATTATACTTTTACAGGACACTGGTGAAATGCTCTTTCCTACATACAATCAAGGACCTTATAATTCACACCTATTTCTCCTTTATTAAAATAGTCCCATGGCTAAATGGCAACCCTCAAACACTGAAAAACAGCTGCTCCAAGGGTCCTCAGTTATGGCTCCCATTATATATCAAAAAGCTGATGTTATTTCAGCTTTTATCATCTGGGCATATTATAATGTGTCAGCTAACTATTTAAATATTTGGGAGAGAGAACACACTAGGCCTGATTGCGTGAAATAGAACAGAACATTCTGGCCCCTAGTTCTGGACTGTTCATTACCCATCTATTAGAATATAAGCTTTAGCTCTTAAAAATCAGTGTTGATTATTAGGCCTTTTTTCTCTTCACTAAATAAGCACTTAAGGTGCATCTTTCAAATAATGAAAATATATGAATAATAATAAATAATTATGTTTGGGGAGTCCTTAGTTGGCAATTTATAATATTAAAATTATAGTGTAGAATATAACCTAGCTGGTCATTTTCCCCCACATATTTGTAATCCTACTTTGTCAGTCATTTCTTCCTCTTTTCAAACATCTATGAATTTGATTAGCATTGCTTAAATATTTGTTTCCAATTCATCATAAACCAAGGAGCCTTGTGCCCTATACTAGAGAATTTCCAGAATTAAATGCACACATTATTTTTGCTTCACTGAATTAGACAAATAACATAAAATATTTCTTTCCAACATAAGTATTTCATAAAATATTTTGTCAAATTCCATTTTTCTTGCATGTAACTAGCTAGTTGTTTTATTTATGCCTTTATTGATGATCATGATACGCTGAATTTGTGTTTATTTTATATTCTTACCATAGTATTAATAGCAAACTTATTTTGGTCTCATTATTATCAATTGACCTATCATGAAGCCTCCCATACAATTCAGTAATACATCAAGTGGGCATATACATACACACATACATAAATATTCAGGAATGAATTTATATTTTGCAACCTTATGTAAACCCAGGCAAGTTAATATTATATGGCTATATAAACTGAACTTAGGACTGAGTTTCAAATTAGTTTATTCTTCGCAATTTCACAACATAGCATAAAATTTCCAGAGAACATATTATCACATATGTATTGTGAACTAAGTGTATTAACCCCACTCTTTAATTAGAGTGATAATCAAAGAAAGTTTATTAGCAATATTTACAGATTAACATTGTTCTAATCTAATTTCATTTTTGAGCCATGTGGTCTCATAGTGGGAAAAACCAATTTCCAAACATCTCTGCTTTATTTTTAAAGCAATGTTGATTTGATTCCCAAGTCCTTTTTAAAATGTGCACATTTACCTTTCTTCCTGTTAAAAGCACGGTTCATGATGAGGCTCTGTCAAATAAGCGTTCAGTTCAATCACAGTTTGTATCCTACAAAAATGACAAAGCATTAAAACATTTTGAAGGACTGTTGACCAACTTCTTGTGTTAATATATTTTACAAACCTTTTAAATTTTTTTAAAAAATATATACAAACAATATTCTAAAATGTATCAAGGGACAATGAGTAAGAATAATATTATGATTGGCACAGCGATGAAAAACAATATATTAAGTAATATTGGCTAAATTATGTTGTTAAATGGAGTACATGTACAAACACATAACAACAAATCCCATCAGTACGTGCAACTATAATGCACAAATAAAAAAGTTGAAAAAAATTTTTTTCAATTGAAATTCTATGAATTGTTTAATGTTTATTTTTTACTACTATATCTATCCATCATTAATTATATTTATCTGAAAATTTAATGAGAAAGAGGATCAATACTTTTCACTGCACTTGTTGGTAAGAAGTATGGTCAAATTTAGGGCTCTCGTTAACAGTATTGGTAGATAAACAAAAGCTTTTCAATTGTGCCTTTAGGAATAAAATCTCTTTTGTAAATCCACTCAAACATATTTATTTCACTGAGCCCATAGGGGTTCCGTGATGTTTTCAAAGTTCCCAAAGCAGGTGACATATCCACAGTACTGGTTATAAACGTTAAGGCTGCTTTGCACTTTAGGTGAGGCAGGAAAGCATCTGGTGCATACTGAGTTCAGAAAGTATCAGCAACTGTAACTGTGTTCGATACAGCACAGGCCCCAAATCTTCTTTATATGCATTATTATTGATGACAGAGGTCACGTTAGTGTTCAATCAGTGTTATGCTTTCCTATGAGAACTCTTCATCAAAACCAGTAGCTTGGTTAGGGGACTTTATGGTCTCTAAAGAGGTTGTGCAATTGAGAGATTTTCATTTTATTTATCCAGGGTATTCATGTAAGAAACAAATGCTTTATAGATTTTGTGCTCAGAAACTCATAGACAATACACATTAGGGACTTGGAAGGCAAGTAAGATTCAATATTTAGTAGCACTTCTTTATAATCTATATTCAGAGTCCATGAAAGAGCTATCTTGGTGGTGAAACAGGCAAAAGTAACGCCCTTGCTGCTCTGGCACATAAATATTCTTGAACTGGAAAACCTCTCACTTTTATTTCCATTATATTTCAAGGAAACTCAACTTTGTTAGAATTAAAAAATAATATTCTTTCCATAAGTTGCATTTCTCACATTTCTGGATTAATTCAACTCCATGAAATAAAGATATCTCTTTAGTAATCTGCTCTCACAATAATTCAGAGACCTGCTTCAAGAGAAATTAAAGGCCATTCCTTGCTTCATTTAAGAGCCCAGTTCTATGGACTTATGTTTTCAGGTGAACTTTAGGTAAAACCCTCCCCACAACTGCCCAGACATTTCAGTTGATAGGATACAAGTGACCTCGAGCGATACATGATTCTGAAATACCTTCCCCCATTCTACTATGAGATTCAGAGACTTAACACCACTTCCTGCTCAGAGACCCTCATGATAATTAGGTCAAGTTCTTTATTCCTAAGTACACTGGTCCACACAAGAAGCCAGGGTTCCCAGGCCACTCTCCTCACTCAGATTCTGATTCTAATGCACTGCACTCTGTAATCACATCTGTCCTCTCTCCCATTTTCTGGAAACATTTTTTCTGTCATCTGGCATTCACAGGAAATCAATATCAAAATAATCTTGCTTTTTTTTCCCCCAGAAGATTCCCATCACTTTGCTGCTCTTAATTCTAGCTGTTGTTTGAGGAAACTGCTTCCATTTTAGTCCTCACAAGAGTACAGAGGGTTTTTCCCCACAGATAGTATTCCAATGAGGATGTAGGTCTTGTTTTTTAATCCAATCTGCCACCCTACACCAAAATTGAATCAGGAGGACATAGAAAATTTAAAACAGATCAATTTCAACCAATGACATTGAAGACTCCATCAAAACCTACCTACAAAGAAAAACCCAGACCAGCTGAGTTCTACCAGACCTTCAAAGAAGAGCTAACCCCAATCCTCTTCAAACTATTCCATGAAATAGAAAAGGAGAAAACCCTTCCAAACTCCTTCTATGAAGCTAGCATAATCCTGATACCAAAACCAAACAAAAACACATCAAGGAAAGAACCCTTTAGACCAATGTCCTTCATGAACATAAATGCAAAAGTTCTTAATAAAATGCTGGCAAATCACACACAAATCATATTAAAAAGATAATGCACCACAATTAAATGGGGTTCATCCAGAGATGCAAGGTTCTTTCAACATAATTCATCACATCAATAGAGTTAAAGACAAGAATCACATGATTATCTCAATAGATGCAGAAAAAGCATTTGAGAAAATACAGTATACATTCATGTTCAAAACAAAAGAAATACTAGAGATAGTAGGAACACACCTCAACATTGTAAAAGTCATCTGTTAAAACCAAGACTGTTATCTTTTAAATGGAGAAAACTTAAAAGCATTCCCTTTAAAAACTCAAACTAGGAAAGGATGCCCTCTTTCAGCATTTTTATTCAACATAGCTTGAAATTCCAGCCAGAGAAGTTAGGCAAAAGAAAGAAATTAAAAGGATACAAATAAAAAAAAGAAGAGTTCACTCCCTATTTGCTGATTACATGATTCTATGTTTAGAAGACCCAAAAAACTCAATCAGTAAACTTCTAGAAGTCAAACAAATTAAGCAAAATAGCACGATCTGAAATTAAAACCATAAATCAATTGCATTCCTATAAACCAATGATGAATCAGCTGAAAGAGAAAGCAGGAGGACTATTTAATTTACAATAGGTTCAAAAAAAAAAACTTGGGAATCAATCTAACAAAAGAGTTGAAAGACTTCTACAATGAAAACTACAGAACACTAAAGAAAGAAATTGAAGAAGACCTTAGAAGATGGAAAGACCTCCCATGCTCTGATAGGCATAATTAATACTGCCAAAATGGCTATACTACCAAAAGCACTATACAGATTTAATGCAATTCCTATTAAAATTCCAATGATGTTCTCCATAGAAATAGAAAAAGCAGTAATGAAATTCATTTTGAAAAACAAGAGGGTAGAAGAGACAAAGCAATCCTTAGTGAGAAAAGGAAAGCAGGAGCATCACATTATCAGACCTTAAATTTTATCACAGAGCTATAGTATGAAACTGAGCATAGTAATGGCACAAAAACAGACGTGAAGACCAACGGAACAGAAGACACAGGGATAAACCCACATAAGTACATTTATCTCATGCTAGACAAAAGTGCCATAAACATACATTGGAGAAAAGGAAGCCTCAATAAATGGTGCTGAGAAAGCTGAAAATCTATATGAAACTGAACTCCTATCTCTCACCCTACACAAAACTCAACACAAAGTACATCAACAACCTAGGCATTAGACCATATTTCTGCACCTACTAGAAGAAAATGTAGGCCCAACTCTCCATCATGTTAGCTTAGGAACTGACTTCGTCAACAAGACTCCTAAAGCACAGAGTAAAATCAAAAATCAATAAACAGGATGGTATCAAACTGAAAACTTTCTTCACAGCAAAGGAGACAAACAAGAATGTGAGGAGAGACCTACAGAATGGAAGATAATCTTTGCCACCTGCACCTCAGACAGAGCATTAATCTTCAGAATATAAAAAGAACTCAAAAAACTTAACACCAAGAAACCAAATAACCCAGTCAATAAGTGGTCACAGGGACTGAATGGACACTTCAAAGAAGAAGAAACAGGAAGAGTCAACTAATATTAAAAAAATGTTCAACATCTCTAGCAATTAGAGAAATGCAAATTAAAACTACACTGAGATTTTCATCTCACTTTAGTCAAAATGGCAACTACCAAGAATATAAGCAACAATAAATGTTGGCCAGGATGTGGGGGAAAAGGTGCACTAATACATTGATGGTGGGTCTGCATATTGGTATAACCATTCTGGAATGCAGTATGGATATTTCTCAAAAAACTTGGAATGAAACCACCATCTGACCTGGTCATACTACTCCTGGATAAAAATCAGCATACTACAGTGATGCAACCACATCAGTGTTTACAGCATCTCAATTCACAATAGCCAAACTATGGAGCCAACATAGATGCCATTCAACAGATGAATGGATAAAAAAATATAAACACAGGAATATTACTGAACCATAAAAAGACTTATTTTATGACTTTTGGCAGTAAAGCATGGGTCTGCTGACTATCATGCTAAGCAAAATAAGCCAAACTCCCCAAAAATCAAAGATTGGATGTTCTCTCTAATGTGTGAATGCTTACACAGAACAACCAGGAGATCGGAGGGGAAGAGTAGAAGTTCAGTGGATTAGATAAAGAGGAATGAAGGGAAGCAGGGGGTATAGGAATAGGAAAGACAATAGAATAAATCAGACATAACATTCCTGTGTTCATATATGAATACACTGCAGTGAAACTCCACATATGTATAATCAAGATAATGTGATCCTAATCAATAAATAATCCAATCAATAAATAGGCATGTATGTATAATATGTCAAAATAAACTCTACTGTCATGTATATATAAAATAATTTTTTAAAATAAAACAAAAGAACTAAAGATGCCTTCAGGGGATCTTGCTGTCGATTGGAATGCATTCTGATCAAATGGCTAAGCCTGAATAAAGAGTTTCCTACAAAGATTAGAGAGAACAGACCTTATAAGTAACATGGAAGCTTACAACAGGGGGAAAATTTTCATGTTTCATAAGACAACAATTACCAAGAAACATTTCTATTAATAGGGAAAATTAAAGGTAGAATAAATGTTGTTTTGGTCGCCCTTACAACCATTCAGAACAAGATCATGAATTTTTTTCCAAGTGACTTCGTGTATTTCAAAACTATGCCCAATGATATTGTAAAGAATAAAAAAAAAAATCAGCATTCAACATAGTAAAATACACAAGGAAAAGTATCTTCAATAGCAATCCGGCATGCAAAGAAATAGAAAATACAGTCCATAATGAAGGGAAAAATCAATC